AGCCATCTATCAGTAGATCTATTCTGTCTGTAAAATTGTTTTTGAGATATTTAGATCCCTCCTTGAAAACAAAGAAATTGTCTTTCAATCCCCAAAGATGACTCATTTTGGAAAGTGAGGACCAGAAAATATCAGCTGAAACCCAAAACCCATGTTGAGCAAGAACATTAACACTAGATTAGAAATGTTAATGCCATTGGGAACTTTTAACTTTGGGAACTTGCTAAAGTTAGTGCTTCCAGGTGCACAGATCTTGCCTTGGCTCTTTTTCACAGTTTCCTCTTTCATTAAAAATAATGTATTTCTATGTCACTGTGTTTATACATGGAGATTTATAAAGTACAGGAGTACACAGACCTAACCTTTAACAAAACAAAACTGAGCACAGGATTTATAGCATCTACTTTCTATATTACTGGTTTCAAATCACAGTAAATAAATGCATTCACACAAAGTCAAATTGGAAAAAGCGGCAGCTTATCACATTGCTTTTTCTTTTTACCATGCAAAATGAGGAAGACTGTCCAACACACAGGAAGCTGACACAAAGCCAGTCCTGGAAGCAACCACAGGACCAGACCACCATCCCTGCAAGAGGGAAGCAAAATTTACCAGCTTGCACACACACTATCATTTCTTCCCATAATAATAATTTATTGATATAACAATTTGCAGCAAGAAGTTCCTGCACCACCAGAAACTTCTGGCTTCTGCAGCAGTAGTTTGCAGCACTGGATTGTGTTAAAACCTGCAGTGCCTACATTTAAACTGGCTTAGCTTCTGCCTAAAGACGAGGCACTACAATGACTCCATGATTTTGTGTCTCTAAGACACATTCTACATTTTCTATGTGGTTATGGTTACCTTTCAGTTGCAGATTACGACTCGGTAAGTTCACGGTTGGAAGGTCTAAAAGCAAATGAGTCAATGGAAAACCCGCTACTCACTGCAAGCAGTTAAATGAATGCACAAAGCATATAAAGGCCAGACTCAAAAGAATAACTTTACTATATAGTTTAGATACTAGTGGTAATGTCCCCAGGGACAACAAGATCTTGGAATTTTAGAAATGCATGTGTTTAACTTCCTTCATTTAAAAAATTTTAGAAGAGTGTTTAACTTCCTTCATTTAAGGGAGGAAAAGCTGATCTTGAACAAATGTAACCGGTTTCAGGATCTTGCCTAAAGCTGCTTCAACAGTTTGGCTACTGCACTTAAATGCATCCAAAGCCTCACTTCATTGCTGCTTCTTTTACAATTCTTGAATGAAAAAGTCTACCTGATCAGAAATTATGCTATCCCAATTCATAGCCATTAATTTGTTTCTTAACCTATCGCAGAATCAAAATACAAAGACATAAGTCTGCTATGTAGGTGGTAAAATACCTCTAAGAAACAATTAACCCCCCCAACTTTTAGAACCTGACACTTTGTAGTTTAATTTGATGACCTTAGGGCTCTTTATTATGTGGAATAGGGAATATTCACGTCTTTTTGTAGTAATTCCTTACTTTACTGGCCTCTATCTTATCCCTACCAGGTTTTTACTTTCTTCATGTACAGAAGCAACTCTCTGCCTTTGTTCATCATTGTTGATTTTATTTCTGAGTTGTTCAAAGGTTCCCTTTTGTCTCAACAGCAGTTTTCATGATAGGGAATCATAATGAAATTACATATTGATATGGTGGGTTTTTGTGGTGCTCTCAACAAGAAAGTAGAGAAGAATAGTCTATTCTATTTTTTTAAAACACTGCTAAACAACACACAAAGACTGTGATACAAGTTCAGGAGAAAAATCATCACTTAAAAAACATAAGGAAAAGAGGGTTCAGAAGGTAAATGTCTTGCTTAACACAAGCAAGAGTAATTATGAAGATCTGCAATATGCCTGAAGAGACATTACATTCTGTAGGTCAAAATGTCTTATTCAAGCTTTTAGGCTAGATTTGCAAGGGGAATTTAGTTCATACATAGCTGGTGCCCAGTTTCTTTTATGTTATTTTATGTCATATATAGGTAGAATTTATAGCCTAAAAAATTATTTTTATTGAAATCAATACATTGATTCAATCTGCTCCTTAAATGCATTGGATGTGCCAGGAATTAGGCTCTAATCCGACTCAGAAAGAAATTTTAAAGGTCTAACCATAGACTAGAGAGAGGTATTGTCTTTTGTTTGGGATTAATGACTGCTAATCCATGTGTCCGGGACAATTTTTACAGTCTCTTTCCTCTTCCAGGAATTCACTGCTGCAAAATGTTGTGGATAGTTGGGGCATATTAAAATCCAAAATGTAATTTGACAAATACATTGGGAGAAAAGCTTAAGTGGAGGCAAAATCTCAAATTCATGCTTCTTCTGGGCCAGAAAGGCTATGCTGGAAAAATATATTGAGGAAATATCACTACAGTTCTCTCTGCCTTTATGTTTTCACAAGCATTGACCACCTTCAGAGGCAGAACACACTGAATAACAGACTATTCCAATACTTGAAACTATAAATATATCCTGAAAAGTTTTTATGGTCTTCTTGGCTGAAGAAATGGCACTAGAAAAGAAAAATCCCAAGGAAGACAGAAAAAAGATGACCTTACAGACTTGGTTCTCAGATGTGTTCAGGATACCTAGGCAATTTGTTTAGAAAAGTTTAATAATTGCAGTTTCCAAAAAAATTGGACAACATCAAAAAAAAATGGGCAAGAGCATCACATGGAAGACACTGTGTTAGTTTCAGATGGGGTAGAGTTAATTTTCTTCACAGTAGCTAGTATGGGGCTGGCTTGAATCTGTGCTGAACACAGGGTTGATAATGGAGAGATGTTTTTGTTATTGCTGAGCAGGGCTCACACAGAGCCAAGGCCTTTTCTGCTTTTAGCACTGCCACAATGGCAAGAAATCTGGGGGTGTATGGGAGGCTGGGAGGAGACACAGCCAGGATGTTTGACCCCAACTGACCAAAGGGATATTGCAGACCAAATGGCATCATGCTCAGTACATAAAGTAGGGGCAAGAAGGCAGAAGTGGGGAATATTTTGAGTTTGTCTTCCCACGTAATCCTTACTTGTGACAAGACCCTGCTCTCCTGGAGATGGCTGAACACCTGCCTGACATGGGAAGCTTTGAGTTGAATTCCTTTGCTTTGCTTGAATGCGCAGTTTGGTTTTTTTTTCCTGCGAAACTGTCTTTATCTCAACTCATGAGTTTTCCACATTTTACCCTTCTGATTCTCTCCCCCATCCCAAAGGTGGGGAAGTGAGCAAGCAATTCATGATACTTAGTTCATTAGTGGTTAAACCAAGACATAACCTGAAGAGCTGCCAAAATATTCTAAGAAAACATTTATAGGATTGAAGACCAGAAAAGTGTCATTGAAATCTCAAATGGTCTATTTGCAAATAAAGCAAGCAAACCCAGTCTGGTTCATCTTTAAGTCAGACATTTCAGTACACTGAGGTCAATTGGTTTTATTCATATTTTCTCATAAAAATAATGAGTCATGTACATGTACTAACCTGGACTCGTGAAATATCCTTTCAGTCAGAAAAACATGCACAACACAAAGATCAGAAAAGGGGTTTTTTTTTTGTTACTGCTCTTTTCTGTTTGATGTTTGCTAGGCATCTGGAATTCACACTAATTTGCTTTAACACCTGCAGAAGTTGTTTTATTAGCTATCTAAAAGCACTGAACTATTGAGTCTCTTACTTGAAGTGTCCTCCAGTGCAGCTCACTGGCTGCAGACTAATTAGTATGTATGCCGGCACATCAGCAGTATGGACGAGGAGGGCACACTGACCTGAGTTGCAAGCCAGCACCACCATACAGACGTGTCCAGAGAAACAAAGCTCAGATCACCTACCCCTCATAAAATCAACACCCTTTTGTCTCTGCCTGCAAATAGTCTGCCTATTCTGTAAGGCAGACAGAACAGGTAACAAGCATCCTATTCTTACTCATTTTGCATTTCTGACAACACACAGGAGTCAGTAATCACACAATTCATTACTGAGACAGAATAGCTCAACAGAAAACAGGCAGAGCCACTGCAGTTCTCTCCCTGCCAAATTCCCTCTGTGGGAAAGGTAAACTTCTTACATATTCCCTGTCTCCTACTGAATATGGTCCCCAAGGAAGTTGTGGAGCATTGGGTTGAATTCATATTCTCCTAGATAAATTATAATGGATCTTATAATAGTTCTAGGAACAACTCGCAGAGTTGTATAAATTACTGTGACTTTTACAGCCTTATTTTTTATAGTTCGATGTCAAGACTAGTAACAATATAGTATATCACTAGAAATAGAAAAACTATAATTAAAATTTGTTGGTGACTATTTGTCCACAAATGTAGCTATTGTGTACAGGGAAGTATTAGCTCCATCACAGGTTGCATTGCTGCACCTACATGTAACAAAAACACTCACTTCAAACAGCTGAGGGCACGATGGCCAAGATTTTTCCATGTGTCAAACGAAATTAGAATTTTCTTTCACGCAATATGCTTTTAAAAAGGCTTGTCTTCATTCAGAAATCATCTCAAAGAAGCTACAAAAATATTAAGAATCTAGCTTGATTTAGCACATTTCTTTTCTATTGAATATTAGCTTTATTACTGCAGCTGAAAACTGAGACACTTTTCATTTATATGTGGTTTGACCCCATCTTGCATCAGGCAAACTAATGATCTAGAAAAAATTCTGACAGGCAAGACATAACCTCAAGATGTACAGTATATTACATTATTGCTCCCTAAGGCTAAAAAGGAAAAAAGGCTAAGTGACACATTCTTCCACACTGCCAAATGAAAGCTAAAATGTTCACAACGACTGAGCTATCCTAAGAAATCTGCACTTTAGATCTACCCAGAAGTTCCCAGAGGTCTTTGGAAAATAAAATTATCTTTTTCTTTTTTATGCATAAGGGTTTCTGAGGTAAAATTACTCTGACATTTAAAACTTCAAACCAAAAAGGCATTTGTCTCGTTTTAAGTGCAACTTACCCCTGATTCAGGAAATACACATTTAGTTGGATCAGGACCTGCATATGGATGCCAAAGTCAGTTCTCCTCAATGGAAAGCAGAGTTCACTAGTTTTTCCAGATCTCTGAAGGAAAAAATCAATGAAAGTAAATAAGGTAAAGAATTACCCAGTTGCAGTCCCTATGACTGATCTTGCATCGAAATATTTTACAAAGGATTATGATTTCAATCTAACCGAAACACTAGCACTACTTTACCAGTCATCATCTAGTTAAATAGTGACTGAGTCTCTAAGAAGCACCCAGGTATTCATTATGGCAATGTGTACAGACAGACATCACCCTCTTGCACTGCACACTGTACAAATGTATGAAGAGAGATAGGCCCCACTAACATGGAGTTAAGTCCTAATGACTGTGGCTGGAGATGGTGCACAAAAAGGATGGTGCAAATCAAAACCCATAGAAAACAAAAGGAGACTATTAGGTTAATTCTAATTTACCCAACCACATGCCCTGATCCATTAGACAACAGTGTCCCTGTCCTGACTCTTCTCAGATGAAAGTTTTCACTTCTTTATGAAAAAAAAACAAGGAACCAGGAAATTGATGTAATTCTTCTCCCTTCCCTTCTGATATGACCCAAAAGATAATTCACTTAATTACAGAGTAACAGTGAATATACAAAATATACAGCAAAACCAAAAAATGAGTCTGTAAGGAATCCACAGCCTATGAGTAGCCCAACCATTCACAGTGAATCTAGCATTATGAAAACATTGTAGACTAAAAATAAGCTTGTCCAAGTGCTGTACAGAGGTACTTGGACAAACTCAGGAACTGGGCCCATGGAAACCTCACGAGGTTTAACAAGACAAAGTGCAAGGTGCTGCACATGGGTCATGGCAACCCCTGGTACCAACACATGCTGGGGCAAAGCAGGCTATGGAGAGAAGCCTTGGGGGCTGGACATGACCCAGCTATGGGCACTCTCAGCCCAGAGAGCCAAACATGTCCTGGGCTGCATCCAAAGTAGTGTGGGCAGCAGGGGAGGGAGGAGATCCTGCCCCTCTGCTCTGCTCTGCTCTGCTCTGCTCTGCTCAGACCCCACCTGAAGCCCTGCATCAAACCCTGGGGACCCAGCATAGGAAGGACATGGAACTGCTGGAGTGAGTCCAGAGAAGGAACACCAAGTTGATCAAAAGGATGAAGTACCTTTCCTATGAGGACAGGCCGAGAGAACTGGGATTGTTCACTTGTGAAAAGAAAAAGCTTCAGGATAATCTAATTGTAGCCTTTCAGCACCTGAAAGGAACTTACAAGAAAGATAGAAAGACTGTTTACAAGGACATTTAGTGACAGGACAAGGGGTGATGGCTTCCAACTGAAAGAGCTTAGGTTTAGATTAGGTACTAGTAAAAAATTCTTTACTATGAGGGTGGTGACACACTAGAACAGGTTGCACAGAGAAGCTGTAGATGTCCCATCTCTGGAACTGTTCAAAGCCAGGCTGGATGGAGTTCTGAGCAAGCTTGTTTAGTGAAAGGTGTCCATGGCTGGGTGATTGGAACCGTATGGTCTTTAATGTCCCTTCCAACCCAATCCATTTCATGATTCTATGAAATCTTTTCATGAGCAACTAGAGAACAGATGAAAAATGGGTTATAATTTATCATCTTGACATTGTTTTACCAATAACATATTATCTAGTGTGTCTTAATGCTCCTATCTTACTCCAGTATTTGTAGTTTTTAAAGAAATAGGAAATTACATGGGCTTGTATAACATGTACTATTTATTGTCTATACCTCAGACAAAGGTATCAGTATGGTACTGCAAGTCTTAAGCATTTTAAATCCTGGAAGTTCCCCTCCAGGCCCATCTTCTGACCTTCTCTGCTGCACTGGCCCTGTGTGGTTAAGATGTTGCAGAAAGCAAGCAGGGTATATATATATATATATATATATGTGTGTGTATGTGTATGTGTATATACATGTATGTTAGTGATGGCAATAGCAAAATATTTTACCCAGTCACCTCCTAGTTCATTGTGCAATGGAAGCAACATAGTTACTAGCACAAGAAAAAGGACAAGGCACAAAAAGAGGCAGGTAATATTTGTGACAGTTCAGATTGGCAACAGGTTTAAATTGCTCTGGACTTGTACCTTAGCTGTACCAGCACAACTGAGGTAGCTGGCACATGACATGGGGCATATGAACTGTTGATTCTGGCTAAAATCAAATTTCCTAGCTGCACCTCTAGAGTCTGTGGTTTTCTCAAAGGAACACAGAAAGTCTGAGTCAAACTTCGAATTACCATCTCAGTGCCTAGATACCAGCTCATTAGAGCTTTTTTTACAGAACAAAAACAAAACAAACAAAAAACCCAACCAAAACCAAATCAACAAACAAACAGAAAACACAACCCCCAAACTACTTAACTTTCTTCTGCATGATTGTTCTTCTTAAAAGACTCATCAGTGCTAGTCCAGGCACTAAGTTACACACAGAAAATAAGTGAAATATGGATGCAGCTGATCCACAGAGAAATGAGGGTTAATGTAACACATACTGTGATGTCTTGGAAAACACGTGGGAGAAACATATAAGACTGTAGGACTTACAATTAGGAAGCAAATAAAATGCTTACAACAACAGCAGTATTACAAAATGAATTCTCAAGTGCATCCAATCATTTCCCAAATCTTGTCTAATTCACTACTATGTGGAGATACCAAACATCTTTTAGATTTGACTGGGACAGTGTTTTAGCTCTCTTTCAAGTATTCTTCTTCAGGAACATTTAAAACACAAGCAGCAGTTTCATTGTCACCAGTGGTATGAAAGGATCTGTGAGTAAGGCTAGGATGAAAGCTATTTTGGCCTTCACTAATGAAAACAAAGCACAGGAAGTCCTATTACTCTACCACTCCTTAAAAGTCACCATGTCATTTCCCGTGTTGGAACATTATGTCAAAGCAAGCATGAACATCAGTCCTTGCCTGAGTTCCTAACATTTCTGACTGATATTTCTCAAAAATGGGTCATTCCCCTACATATGGCAGGAGGACCACAGAGCCATGTTAGGCACACTGAATAAATGTGAAAGAGTAACACAAACAGTGATTCCTAAGGTGACTGTGTTCTGAGTGAGTATTCCTTTTTCTCTGTGAGAAGACACTGTTGGACATTACATATGCATCTTAAAACCTCCTAATTTGAGTAGGACCAGGTTAATGCTACAAAGCATCACCCCTCAACACAATTACCCAATATCCTCTTACTTTCTTTTGCATAATTCTCTCTCTTAAAACACTAATTTAAATTTTTGTGTTAACTGGATATCATGCAGCTTCTCATGAAACACCAGATTTTCCTAAATTGGAAAAAAGTGGAGCAGTTTCAAACAAAAAATAAATATAAATATATATAAAATTAATCAAGAATCTACACTTACATTTCAGAATTCAGTTAATGCATAAATATAGAAGACACATTCAAATCTTAATAAGATAGTCTATTATTTATGCTTACTTTAGAGTTTCCATTTTAAGAGGATTTCAAGTGGTTTTAAATGTCACTGTATGTTAGAACACTACATGCTGTTAAAAAATATCAGCAATGGAAAAAAAAGAAATTACTTCTGAGTTTGGTCTCCTGATTATGAGCAAAAAGAATATCTTCATGGAAAATAGGGGTATGAAAAATATAATACAGTCAAACTCTCATTTTTATAGTAAGAATAATGCATAGAAAGGAATATCTGACTGTTCTGATAGAAGAGTCATGGTAACATTTGCAAGATGCATATATAACAAAACTGTTTACTAACTAGGTTATCTATCTATCTATCTATCTGACTGTCTGTCTGTCTCTCCTAACCTCTTACTTCCATTTTACAAATACTGTGTTTAAAGGCACACTACTAATTACAGAACTCAGGTAACAATTACCTCTTGCTTGTAAAAGGATGCAAAATTTTCCATAAAGGAAAACCAGCATGTGAGCACAAATTACTTTGTGTCAGTAGAAGCTGACTCTGTTTCTGGTGTTGTCTTAAGAACACACAGCCTTACAAAGGGAAAGAGCTCAAAGCCAACAAAACAATCATCAGGGCATCAAATCAGTTTAGCACAATAAACCAACAAACACAGTTCTTGCAATTATGCATTGGGAGCCAGGTGGACTCTTCAACAGCTTAACTAACAGAAGGAAACAATACCAAAAAAACGTTTGCAGAATTCTGGTGTATATTGCTCACAGAATTGGATCACAAAACCATTACAGTGGGTTCAGTCCAAACAAATAACCATAGTCTGTGGAGCCCTCAAAGTAACATGTCAGAGGGATGACACCAGTTTTTGTCTAACAGTGAATTTCAGTCTCAGGATGGTAGGAGTACAGCTGAAATACTGATAAACAAATGTTACTCTTATTCCCACAACACCGAAGCTTGTCTAATTATTTTGTTTATTTCCACTTTGAGATTGCACTACATATGAGCAATCAGGAATCAGGTCTGCTTCCTGTGTATTAATTAATTTTCAGGAAATACTGCGAACAAATTTTCATATCAGAACCATACAGTAAACCTGAGTTTTAATGTTTTATTCATCACCTTTGCCTACTGCTTTCACTTGTGTCTGTAGAAAAGCACCTGTCATGGTCTATCATACAGATAGAAAGAATTTTCCCTCAATTATGGAACTCTTTCATTTCTGACAGAATAAAAAGGGAATACATTTCATCCTCAGACTAGAAAATGCAGTTCCCATTAGTCTTACTGGAATAGCTCAGTCACCATCTCTCTTCTTATTATCACTTGACTTCATTTACAGAAACGTGGTTTCAGAATGTTGCTGTTAAAACAATGATAACACAGGCAGATACAGGGTGACCTTAGAAAGAGAGCAAGTTGCAGTACACCTTCTCTATGGCATGATGCAGCATTGTCCAAAATGTAACCAAACACACTGAGAAAGGATGTTAAAATTACTTGAAAGCACTTTGCAACCTTCTGATTATCTGCTATTCGCAAGGATTAACAAGGACTTCCATAAATTAAACAGTCCTTGATTTACTCTTTCTTTTCCTACTTTTTTTCAGTGACTATATCC